CGAATGATGGCTGATGTAAGGATGACAAGGAAGGAGCGAAAGAGAAAGATAAGGGAGACGAATGCCTAGGGAGGGTACCCTCAATTTCTAAAGGGTTGGAGGCGCTTAAGGGGGCCGGAGGAGGGGAAGAACTAGGCGGGGAGGAGCACGGAGTGGGCGAATGCGGGCCCGTCACCGCCAAGGTCCTCGGGGTCTTGGGGGCTCTGGTTGCGGTGTATGTCTACATAGAATGTCAAGCGTGGCTATATGGATGTTGATGATGGAGACGGCCGGGAGGCGTCGAAGCGCGTCTGCAAAGTCGCAGGCGTGGCATTGCCTCAAAGCTCACAGGAACAAGCGGAATGACCGTGTCGAATGCCTTCGTCTTTTGGAGGGTGATAAAATCATAGTCACGGGAAATTTTGACTTACCGCTTGCTTCAATACCGACTTGAGTCAAGGGCCAGTCTATGACAGAACGGGCAGCCTGAGTGCGGATCCGATGAGGATGACGCGGACAGGGCGGTGACGCCTCTTGCTGAGCCCTCACGGACGATTTTGAGCGGTTGAGAAGGCTTAGAGTGGAGCTTTGTTCTTTTACGGAAGGTGGTGGTGAGAAAGCGTAAGGAGTGTGAAATTTAAGGAGAAGGAACAGAAGAATGGGAAGCAAGGCACAACTTGCTAACACACCAAATCTCGCTCATTGCTCCAAGATTGTGCTTTCGGTGACCCAACGGTTCCTCTGAATCTTATTCCATCCCACCTTCTTTCTCAACCGTCTCAACACTTCCCATCCGAAGCACAGGCAGAGCCCGCGGCGCTATTTCCTCCCGTCCCCGGGGGGAGGCCTCTCGTCTGCAAGTGATCCTCGGAGAGTAAAGACCACACAGTCACGTTAGGATTCCTCTCGCGCACTTTCTTTCCACCTTCCAGAAATCCCAGCTCAATCATGCACGCCGCTTCCACCACCACTCCTTGTCGCGCGTGGACCAAGTCCAAGCCCGCCAAGAGCGTTCCCCCGGTCGCGATCAGGTCGTCGACCAGCAGAACCTTGTCCCCCGGGATGATCGCAGTGCGAGAGATGCACAGGGCGTCCCCCCCCTTACCATCGTCACCCTCGTACTCCTTTGTATAGCTGTCCCCTGTCACAGAATTTGGAAGTTTGCTTTGCTTTCGTAGCATGAAGAAGGGGATGTCCAATTCCAAAGCCAACGGCGTGCCCAACAGGAAGCCTCGGGCGTCGAAGCCCCCGATCTTGTCGATCGCCATGCCCTTGTACCTTTCGACTAGTATTTCTATGGTCCGACGAAGCAAAGCAGGAGATAGCAGAAGGCCGCTGATGTCGTAAAAGCGGTCAATGCCTTTGAAGGCGTAATAAGGGATTACAGCCGCGATCCTTGGTATGGATGGACAGAAAGGAGGGGGATGGAAGGGGCAAATTAAAAAATAGGCAACGCCAGTCCAGGGAAGTGCGATGCCTTCTCGTTCCCCATATTTATCAAATTTATCAAATGACCATACTTGCGTTTATCCTCCTCGTAATCCTGCGAAGTCGCAGGGTTGACTCCGGCCATGCTTCTAGGACCCTAACTGGGAAAGTGAGCGTAAACCCTGCCGAACATCGACATCAAAAAAGGAAGTGTGTGAGGAGTCGCCTATCGTTGATCAATATCAAACCACAACAAACTCAAACAAGACAACGACACGACTTTAAAATACAGACGACGAGAACGGTAACTTTCCTCCGCATTTGGATTCTCTGACCAACCTCCTCCCAGTGGATGCCTGTCCGGGCGGCTCGATTGCCCATTGATATGCCCGTATTTGTTGCTACTGTGGTTGTCACACCATCTCATCATCCTGCGCTTTCAATTGTAGGTGCTGCAGCACACATATCACATCCCGATGGCCAAAAGAAGACCCCATCTGGTCATGCCCTTATCCTCTGCAGCCAGCGCCGCGCTTCCTCTGACGTTGTTCCTCCTTCTTGCCGGGCCAGCCCTCTCGTACCTGTCACATGTGCCCCCGATTGTAAGCAAATCACGCGTTTTTGCGGCTAAACAAAATCATCATAGCCAGCTCGTACGGCAACGTACCCCAACGGCTCTGACGTTCAGCACGGCAACCTCATCGGACGAGAGGGGCCACATCACTCGTACTGAACTCGTGGGAGCGGCCAAGTTTGTACGACAGAACCCTAAATCAGACCGTTTCAAAGTCTTGAGCTTTCATCACGTGGAAATCTACTGTGGGGACGCCACTAACACCTATCGTCGTTTCCAGTTGGGCCTGGGTATGAACCTGGTGGCCAAGTCGGACTTGTCTACTGGTAATCCGCTTTTCGCAAGTTATTGCCTGCGGTCCCAGAGGCTGCAGATGGTCTTTAGTGCACCGTACTCCATGAATAAGGTGGCAGCAGAAGAAGGGTCGTCGATGGGGAAGGGAGAGATTGTAGAGAGAAGAAGCAGCCCGAACCCAGGTTTTGAGGCCTCGCACGCCACGCAGTTCTTCAACAGGCACGGAGTGGCTGTGCGGGCCTTGGGGCTGGAAGTGGAGGACGCGAGACAAGCGTACCAGGAATGTGTTGCTAACGGCGGACAAGGAGTGCTAGAGCCTGTCCGACTGGATCCCTCCCCGGGCTTGGGGCGGGACGGGTACTTGGTGATGTCGGAGGTGCAGGCCTACGGAGACGTTGTCCTGCGCTTTGTCTCGAGACATGGGGGCTACGCGGGCAGCTTCCTTCCGAGCTATCAGGAGGAGACAAGTGCGGCTTACACAACGGGTGCCAAGGTGGAAAGGTCTCTTGACTATGGTCTCGAACGCATCGACCACGCGGTAGGAAACGTCTGGGAGCTGAACGAGGCTGTGTCGTACTTGGAAAAAATGACGGGCTTCCACCCTTTTGCGGAATTCGTCGCGAAAGACGTGGGCACTGTCGATTCTGGATTGAACTCCGTCGTCCTTGCCAACAACGCGGAAGATGTCCTGATCCCCTTGAATGAGCCCACGTACGGGACCAAGCGGAAGTCTCAGATTCAAACCTACTTAGAGTGCAACAACGGCCCCGGATTGCAGCACTTGGCCTTAGCCACGCGCGACATATTCACAACAATGCGAAAGATGCGGGCAGTCTCAGAAATGGGCGGCTTCACATTCATGGCCCCGCCGCCTCCATCGTACTACCGGGCCTTGCCGGAAAGACTGGGCGGGAGCTTGACGGCCTCGCAGCTGGCACAGATAGAGGAGTTGGGGCTGCTGGCCGATAAAGACGACCAGGGCGTGTTATTACAGGTAGGGTAGGAGGTAGGAGGGCATGCAAGGTATTGGAACCGACTGTCGAAAGTCATAATCAGGGTTCATTGACCTTTCCTCTTCCCTTTTTCCACAGATTTTCACCGTGCCCGTAGGGGATCGACCAACGCTTTTTCTGGAGATCATTCAACGCATCGGTTGTGAGTCTCCAGATCCCAATCATTCGGAACAAACGAAACAGAGGGGAGGTTGCGGTGGGTTTGGGAAGGGAAATTTCGCCGCCCTTTTCAAATCCATAGAGGAGTATGAAAAAACGCTGGATGTTTAGGAATCGGATAGGGATGGAACAGATATGGTAGGATTGTACAGAGTGTGGTATTAACACCTTTGAAACCGAAAAATCCAGCAGCGTTGGTTGAGATGTTGATAAGTGTTACTGGTTCCTTCTCTTTTTTCGAGGCTGCTGTTCTCGCTTGTGTTTTTTTGAGGTTTTTAAGAGTCAAGCTCGAGGAAATGTTATCTTCCATCAAGGTATTTGAGTTGATCTAGTGACGTTCTGGTTAGATGAACGAGAATATAGCTACGCACGTTTCAGAAATCTGAGGTGCTCGCATTCGCTTTTCGCCATAGGGTTTTAGTATTTGTTCTAAGGTTTGTCAACGAAAATGGCGAACGGTCATCAAAACAAACTTACCAACATGTGGTGGTGGCCATTTGAAGTCTACCGCTGCTTGTTCTTGTGGAAAGGACTCTCGCCCTATCCTCAGATCATTGGCGGGCGTACCGAACTTCGTTGAACATGTGGCTAGACGCATGCGTCACCCCTGTCCAAACCCGCTTCTGCTGGAGGAATGAGGCGAACCCGCAAAGCTTTGCGTTCTAATTTTTGATATGTTTAGGCTTGTGTTTAAAGGTATCTTAACCACAAAGTGGCTGTAAGTTTCAGATAAGATCGGGCGTTGCTTTTGTCAGCGAGCACCTCTGTAACAGACCCGCTCCAACTGATAACAACACCAGCAACGACGTGAACACCAGCACCGCCAACAACAACATTATTTAATATCTAGTTACAGTCATGCATCTTCTAGCCGCACTCGTGGCCCTGCCCGCCATGTGCACTGCTTTTGTCGTTCCGCTACCGTCAGCTCCGAAGGTAAGGCGTTCGAGGTTTCAGCATCTGGACTCAGGTCTACCTCAGGGCTCCTTCACGATGTTCGTTTCCCTTCTTTACACACGTCCAACAGCATGCCGTACGAATGATGGCTGATGGTGACGCAGCTGGTGCTGAGTGGCGGGGTGGTCAAGCGGCGTCAGCTGTATCGAAGGATCTGAAAACGCTGCTGACGAACGAGAATGTCGCGTCGATTTTGCCTCACCGATACCCCTTCTTGCTGGTGGATAAAGTGATTGAAATGGAGCCGGGGAAGAAAGCTGTGGGTATCAAGCAAATAACGGCAAATGAACCGCAGTTTACAGGTCATTTCCCAGAGCGACCAATCATGCCCGGAGTCCTTATGGTGGAGGCCATGGCTCAGCTCTCAGGCGTGCTCTGCTTGCAGCCTCCTGTCTCTGACGGCAAAGGTCTCTTCTTTTTTGCCGGTACGTGACACACCAATCAAAAACCATCTGAAGGAAAGGACTTCGATACAAGGAAAGTGTATGTGATGCTCGCATGAGGTTATGACTGCGTGGCGTGCAGGGCCTTGCAGGGATGCCCCTCGGACGACCTTTTGAGGGTCCTGGCGTGCGTTCTCAGGATACATTGGGCCGTTCTACCGGCAAAATGACCCACAGGTATCGATGGGGTCAAATTTCGAAAGCCTGTGGTGCCGGGGGACACTCTGGTCATGGAGGTGGAACTGGTCAAGTTCATGGAGTCGTTTGGCATAGCCAAGCTGAAGGGGAAGGCGTACGTCGATGGCGACGTGGCCGTCGAAATCAAGGTACGAGCTCCAGGAGGTGGGGCATCAATGTGAAAACGCGTGTGCAAATGTGTAAGCTTTAGATATGTGTGTGTCGGTGTGTCGTGTCTCACTTAACGTCCGTAATTTTCTCTCATGCGCACCATATGGTTACACATTGCATCTTGTAATGCTATCTGGCCCTTTTTTGAAATAACTCGGTAGGAGATGACTTTTGCCCTGTCCAAGTGAGCAGGAGGAGCAATGGGACAGCGGCAGGCGACAGGAGGTGGTGTCATCGCTGGTAATTCGCCCGAGGATATAGCAGCTGTGTGCCGTTCCTTTCTCATGTGAGAATGCAACATCGATGAGATTACAACAAGAATCACTGCGTGTGCGTGGCCCGTATAGGAGCGGCGTCTGTGCCACGTGTTTCTCATTGTGTCGTGATCCACCCAAATGCTTGAGCGAAAGTCGTCATACGTCTTCCTTTCTCCCCCTGTGTGTCTTTATGTGTTAGTCTATGTTGGCATGTACTCCGGCAAATGGTCATAGCCTACACAAACCAGTCGAAGATGTATGCACATGTGATGAATCATCTGCGATATTTTCTTCATTTCTCCTGAAGGCTGTGCTTGCGTGAATCTCGGCCTGACGTCAAGACGTGTTATTGTGTGTGTTGTAGGTCATTCCAAACTCCTTTCAAGTTCTCTTTTTGCGCGAAAGGTCTCCCAAAGCGTTTTAAAAAAAGGAAGTTAACATCCCATTCAATCTCGCGGACGATGTGTCGCTTGGGCGGAGGCTCTGTTTTCTATTTTGCTTTTCATTTTACCTTGTAGACCGTCTGAGCCCGGTACTCTCGCATCAATACAACAAACTCAGTCGCATTTCCTGTGACTTGACGGATAGCCTGAGCAGGCCTCAGGTAGGGATAGGCTTGATCTGTGACAGGGCGGATCGGGAGCAGGACTCTACGTTAGCCAGACAATCGATTTCGCTTTCATAAAATCTAGTAAGACCAAGTCGTGGTGGATGATTACAATTGCCCAAATGCAACATGGCCCGTGAACAAGTCTGGTTTCTTTCAATGTAATTTTCCTTACAACGATCCCGCCTTCCTACGTACCTTGAAATGCAGACCGATTAATGAGAAGAGGAGGCACCGCAAATCTTGAACGAGATAATAAAATATCCTCAGGCCTTCAGGATCTTTGCTGTCCTGCACATCCAGGAGCGATCCAATCTTGGCGCAGGTAAAGCGGATGTGGGATTCTCCGAGACGGACCTCCAGCTCCTGCTTCCCGACCCGGTCTGGTTCCGGCCAATCTTTATCATCTTCCGCCACGATCTGGGACTCCTCAACGATGCGTTGAAATTCGCTCAGTACAGTTTGAGAAAGGTATACTGTGAACAAGGGACTTTGTTAGTTCTTTCGCGATCAACAATCTCTGTCCTTGTTCTGTTTTCGTACCTTGTTTCCGGATCATCTTGGCGTTCTTGTATTTAGAGTTATTGGCGTACCTCAAAAGACCCGAGGGATTAATTTCGAATTCCATGAATTCGTGCCCAAATTTCCCCTTGTGTCCCACGTAGTACCGAAGGTAAAATCCGTCACCAACGGTCATGATGTCCCTGCTCATGTTGTGGAAGGAAAGGCAAGAGATGTAGATGCACACTGCCAAGCAATCAAAGCTCACTCACACTCTGCCAAGATCAAGCTAACACATCATCTTGTAGGTGAAATGGAAGTAAAGGGCCTGTAAGCGTGCATATCCATTTGAAGACGTACTATACATACAGCGGCGCTCTCGTTCGTGCGCCATCATCCAACCCACAGTCCGTGGTGACCCGACACGATCTCTCCATGACAGATACGAGCACGCAAGCAGTCCTCCGCCGGAGCCCTCGTAGCAAGAAAACCCCACACCATCCGACTACTACACTGTAGTCCCGCATCCATTTGCCGCACACCTAGAATTGGCCTCTGCCCCCTGGTAGGTGCTCTTCGCGCAATTTTCCGCGTTCTTTCCGCCTTCTTATGCCCCGACGCGCCGACGGCCCCCGACCCTGTAACGGTTCGGAAACGGTTTTTGCCTGGCGGGTGTTGAATTGCAGCCTTTCTCGGCACGATGCCGCCTTGTTATGAAATGTTTGGGGTGTGCACCTCAAATGACTGCTGATTGTGTATAAATCGCGGTGAATACGCCTAACATATATAATGAGTTTTTCATCCTCGGCAGACCGGGTGTCTTATGGGAAAAAGTGCAAACTCAGGCAGGTGCAGTGTCTCGCCATGTCTGCTTGGCAAATCGTGTTTATCTCCGCTTCAAGCACGAGACAAAAAGGGTTTGAGTGCCGTTACTAGAACCATGTAAATTTATTAATAACGTAGGGAAGCCGTGCTTCCCTCTGTTCCTTTGGATGTCTCCATATGTATTGGCAAGCTTTTTCTCGCATCAAGATTATCTACCGCGGGCGTTAGAATACATTCTACTTCAATACCGCAACGACCCTTATTGCTGCTTTTTATTATTAGCGCAAAAGTTTAGAGACTTGCTCAATTATTTCCTGAGATATAGAAGGCGGTTATTAGGTGTCAGGATATTTATTCGAAACTGTTCACAATTTCATCCCTCTCTCGAATCATCCCGCAACTTCACAGGCGGTTTCAATCATTGAGAACCTAGAAGAAGGATCTTTAGCCAATAGGGCTTCCGCTGCCTCTCCTCCTCCATACGTTCCAATTAGCCCTGATAGCGAAACAACTGACTTAAGCGAAGGCGAGCCGGCGGGTGCGTTAACCACGGCAACAGTGGCGGATCCTACTCAGTGCCTGGGAGTCCTACACTCGCCCGCGGGTGGACAGACCTCTTTCCCTACATCTGCTTCTCCGAATCGTAGATCGGCAGCTGCTCCGCCAAGTTACGAAGAGTACGGTCGCGTGACACGCGCATTATCTTCCCCAGTCATGGAAACCTTAAATGACATGGAATTGCAGACAGGCTACGAGACCCCTCGGCCCACTGTGCAAGACCGTCTCAAACGATGGTGGGAGGAAATACGCGCTGAGTGGCGTATTCTGGGTGTCTTTCTTCTGTTGATTGTCATCTGCTTCCTCCTCGCAGATCTCGACTTGAGTGTGCATTTGCAGACGATGTCGGAGGGCAAGGTCATGTCTTATCCCATGCTCAAAGAGGCGTTCGACAAGCACCCAAGCTTCTTCGATTTCTACACCTTACCTTCGGATGATGAATCCCTGATTCTGGAAATGCCTAAGGCTTTTTTCAACCAAACTCCCTCAAGACCTGTCATCTTTAGCGCCACTTTCGCCCGCGGAGCCTGGGATGACTCCTCCAGCCTCTTACTCCTCCACGAACCCGCCGAGGCCACGGACCACGTTGTCTTTACTTTCAACATCACGTCTGATGGCTCTGGCATAGACATGTTCCGAGAACAGTATGGCGTGCGGACCAGCAGCCCGGACTACGCCATGCCGGTAGAGCTCGGGGCCCTGTCATTGCGCGTGGGGACCTTGCCCATTGTGATTGACCACCATGGCTCCAGTGACGACGAGGAAGGAAGCTACGTAGTAGATGCCTCAGGTTTGATTGAGAACGGCTTCTACATCACAGACGTGACAGGTGCGGAAGACGCTAGGCTGCGCTTGGACCTGAGCCGGTCCTTCCCCGAGAACCTGGACATCACGGCCGAGTACCTCCTTCCTCTCGACCCCTCTGACCCGGCGTCGCCCAAGGTCAGTGAGACGATTAGTTTTTCCATGGCTCTACTGCCTGAGAGGCCTCTCGTGGCCCGCGCGTTGGACGAACGCATTGGTTTCTTCTCCATCGGCTACCAGGACGTGGGCGACCATCGCCACGACCCCAACGTGACGGCCTCGCACAAGCATTTGGCCGACCGTGTGGACACCAAGGTTAAGATCATCAATCGCCGCCGTCTCTCTTCAGGCGCGAATGAAAGCGCCATCACGTACTACATCGACCCCACGGTGCCGAAACAGTGGCGGGAGTCATTTCGGCAGGGCGTAGAGGCCTGGCGTCCGGCTTTCCAAGCTGCTGGCTTCGGCCCAGCGGCCATTCGAGCCATTCTACCCAACGAAAGCGGCTGGCCAGACGATTATCAGGTGGGAGACCTGCGGTATTCCACCATCAGTTGGGTTGTCGATATGGATACCACCTTCGCGCTGGGCCCGTCCGTGGTAGACCCGCGTTCGGGCGAAATCTTGAAGTCGGACATCATCTTCACGCACGGATGGGTCAAGCACTGGATCTCATACATGGAAATGATGGACAGCTCTAAGAATCCTGCCCAGTCCGCCACGGGCCTCGATGCGCTAGACCCCGCTCGGGAGGCAGCAGATCTGCAGCGACTGCTCGGCGTGGACCACGGAGGGCAACGCGAACACAGCCACGAGCACAAGCATGGCCACGACCATGGGAACGACCACGATCCAGTGAGGACCTTGGCAGGCCGACCCTGGACTCGAATGCACCCTTCCCGGCGGACCACGCTCAGGCACGCGCACCGGCATGGACGATGTCAGGAGGCGAGGGCGAAGTATGACTTGTCACCCAAGTTAGCTTTACTGGCCCGAGAGCTAGCGGGCAAGGACGCGTTGGTCTCCGACGACATCCTCCACGCAGGCATTCGCGAGGTGATCATGCACGAGGTGGGCCATACCCTGGGCTTGCGGCATAACTTTAAGGCCTCGTCGGGCGTCACGTGGGAGCAGACGCAGGACGTGGAGTACACGCAGAAGCACGGCCTCAGCACTTCTGTGATGGACTACCTGCCCATGAACCTGGTGAGTGGGCGTGCCGCTGAGACCAACGTCGATTATTTTTCTTCCACGATTGGCATTTACGACGTTGCGGCCATAAAGTACGGATACACCGAGCTCCCAGACGAAGCGCCTGGTATGCCGCATAAGGTCCTAACGGCTCTGGCGGACCAAAATCTCCTCTTCGGAACGGATGAAGACGACGCGAGTCCTTTGGGCGCCGATCCGTACGTGAACGTCTTCGACTTTACCTCCGACCCTGCCGCTTTCTACTTGGATCGCCTGACCTTGGTAGCGGAGCTGAGGGAGAACCTGCTCGACCGCGTGGTGTTGGAGGGGGATGAGTTTACCCGCTACGCAGCCGCAGAAACAACACTCTTGAAGGTAGTGCTCTCGGCAGCAAAGTCCCTGACGAAATTTATCGGGGGCTACACTGTCAACAGAGCTCGGCGCGCGGCCCCCGGTGTGGCCCAAGCTCCTCCTTTGGCGGTCTTGAGCCCATCGGAGCAACAGAGGGCCTTGGCAGGCGTGCTCCAAGTGCTAACAGACGACGAATCCATCATATTCCCTCAAGCGGAGGCGGTGCAGTGGATGCTCAACAAAGGAGGAGAATGCTCGGGTTTGTATCAGTATTGCCTGGCTCGCTCCCCCGTGGACGTAGTCAAGGCCATAGACGACGGCCGAATATCCCTTTTGACGCATCTCTTTGCCATCCCACGTTTAGAGCGTCTTCGCACGGCGGAATGGGTGACATCGGCTTCAGGGGAGGCAGAAAAGAGCTTCGGAGTCGCCGATCTCTTTACGCAAACCACTTTAGCCCTCTATGGGGCCGAGCCTGGGGTCTCGGCCCGAGCAGCCGAGTCCCGCAACTGGAACCTGCAAATATACTGGGTGGAACGTTTGCTGGAACTAGCAAGCGCGCCCCCCGAGGACCTGTCCAGAGAGGTGGCTGCCTTGGCGGCGGCCCAACTCTTCAGCATTCAGGAGTCTATGGAGGTGGCCTTGGGGCCTGATGGCACTGTCACCAAGGACTCCAAAGCCTATCCTTTGCTCCGAATTGTCCTGGTAAAGCTTCGTGAAAAAAGCTATGTCAAGGGAGACTCATGAGGCATCACTTCGAGGAAACATGTCAAATATTAAAACATATAAATAAGCGTGTGTGGTAGCCGCGATCTCATCTTGACATCCGTGCACGGACAGCTAATTTAAAGCCAGAATTTGGGGCAAAATAGATATAGGGTCGAAAAAAGACACATTGCTCCAGACAAATAATTTTATAAACCGGGGCGATCTAAGAAATGCCTAATTTCCACCTAGAGGAACAATTTTAAAACTAAAATGAAGAGACGATACAGTTGCTACGTCCTCGCAGAATGCATCAACCACCACAGATAATAAATTAAAAAAGGCCTCCGGTCGCTCAAAGACAGTCTTTTTCTCATTTTCCCTTGTTCAGGGCCGTGCAAGAATACTCGGTTCACAAGGATACTTGAACAGAGTGCTGTGTTTTTGGACGAGACTTTTGGACTGAAGGAAGCTTTAAGGTCACCAGACGCGGCGCGACTTCGTGATGCAAGGATTCCCTCGCGTTATACACGTACCAGCTTCGAGTCTGACTAGTGCTTTCGTTCGTAGGTATTCGTCTCGCATGCGCTACAAACCGCACAGGAACGTCCTCGCTTTAAATTCCTTGGCGATCACTACTAGTGCTTGCAGCACCTCGAAATGCAGTGCCTGCCTAGTCGCCTGCGCTTGACTGAATATCGTCCCTTACACCCCCCATATTATGCCGATAGCAGTGACCTTCCGCAAACATCATAAATTATTAGCCATTATGAAGCCGCCGACGGTGCTTGTTAAGGCACGGTGTCTCTTCCGGTACCGCTCTCCGATGCTTCAACTGCTCTCACGGACATGTAGAGCAGGAAATTCCTCTTCCTCCTCCTTGCCTTATTCTACTGGCGCTAAAGCTTCGACGAGCCCTTTCGAGAGAAGTCTGTTTCAGTACAAGGACTACTTGAAACGAGAGCTGGCAAGATTTGATCCTGATGTTCCGATCGAGTTAGCCTCTACCCCTCCCGCCTCCTGGTTCACTGACCCGGCCTTTCACACCCTGGAGATGGCAAGCATTTTCTCCGATAACCCCCTGTGCGTCGGCAGTACTCTTCAAATACCACTACCTGGCGACTATTTTTGCGGACAAGTGGGCTCCCATCCTTTTATTGTACTGCGGGAGGCATCTGGGAATGTGAAAGCTTTCTACAATGTCTGTCGACATAAAGGCATGCGTCTGGTGGCGGAGGACGCGGGTCGCGTGGGGCAAACCGTTCTCACCTGTCCGTATCACGGATGGGAATATCGCTTGGACGGACGACTGGCCAAGGCGACGCGTGTGGCAGGCATACGTGACTTTGCCCCTAAGGACTACGGGCTCCTGGAGATTCCTCTCTGGACGTGGGGGCCTCTGGTCTTCCTCCGCTTCGGGCAGGCTGAAAACGAGGCACCTCACGTGGTTGGGAAGGACGGAAGTCACCCCCTGGCGTACTTGGAGCCCCTGCTAGAACGCCTGGATGCCGAGCACGGTTTCAGCTCAGGATTGCGGCATGTCCGCCGACGGCGATACCGAGTCCAGGTAGGATTTTGTGGGCTGATCCCATATTGTACGGTACTCTCTACCTATCTCTCGAGTACGCTTGTACAGTTCCGGCCGTGCCGTGCCCCTTCACTCACCTCCCTGCCCTCACACCCTCCCTCTCCCTCCTCGCGTTCCCTCTTCCGACCCCCTTCGACACCCCAGTGCAACCACAAGGTGGTAAGCGACAACTATTTGGACAACGGCTATCACGTTCCCTACGCGCACAAAGCCCTGGGGAATGCCCTTGACCTCTCCTCTTATGGAGCTTCCGTTCACGACCGATACTCCGTCCAGGCCTGTCGCGGAGCGCCCTCCACCTCCTCCCCCTCCTTCCCCCCTTCCACGTCCGCCTTTTCCTCGTCTTCTCCCTTTCCTCCTCGTATCAGCCCCAATCATGGAGGGGGAAGTGCAACGCGCCTGGGTAAGGCCGCCCTTTACGCACACATTTACCCTGGGCTCATGCTCAACCGCTACGGCCCATGGATGGACCTGAACATCCTCTTTCCCGTCTCCTCCTCCTCCTGCGACCTCATTTTCGATTACTTCCTGGAAGAAACTTTCATTGCCGAAAAGTTGGAAAAGGACGGGGAGGCTGGCTTGCGCACGTACGTGGAAGAGTCCCTGATAGCCTCGGACGAGGTACAGCGAGAGGACACCTACCTGTGCGAGAATGTTCAGGCGGGGCTTGAATCGGGCGGGTATGACAGGGGAAGGTATGCGCCGAGAGTGGAGTTTTTGGATCACGTTTTTCATCAATGGCTGGCGCAGGACCTGCGGGCGGCAGTAGGGAAGATACAGGGCAGGGAGGGGACACATAGGCCGAGGTGGGGGAAAAGAGGGAGAATGCTGTGAAGCGCCAAAAAGCGTGGTATTTGTAAGATGACAGCAAAATAAAAACCACTTTAGGCAAACATCCATGAAGGACAGCCGAGAAAGAAAGCCGGGTGGGTGGCCCTAATTTTTGTCTGCGTTAACATTTTCTGTCCGTGCCCGCTCTTATACACTGATAGTGGCGATCCCGTGAGCAGGTCTGATCGTTTTCACTCGGAACCTTTGTATCAATCTTTCCGCCACGGGCACGCTCTGCTCATGGTGCAGCTCGATGGGTAACGAAAAACTGCCCCCTGCTGCCTCTCCCGATGCGGCTCCAGCAGCCGCTAATGCCTCCCCTTCCACGTCCGTCCTTCTTCATCCCTCCAGTGCCCTCCATCCTTCCCCTCCTCCCTCTCCTGCTCCAATTTTTCCTCCCTCAAGCCAGCCCTGATTCCCCCCTTGACCACCCAATTCAACATTCTGACGGGTGCCCCGCCAGCCCCTCTGCTCGGTAGGGTCCCCTCTTGCTCTCCCTCTGCAGCCGCATTGCTTCAAGGTGCCCATAACGGACGGGTGGCTGGTCGTATAATACCACCGCTGATGCGCTGGATGTGGTGATTGTCCTGACCCCATCTCTGCTGGTTCCGATGCTCATCAACCTATCCTCCTTTCGCCACTCCTACGGACAGGCCCTTGGACGTGTGTGTACTTTGAAGCCTTGCGTTTCCTGCTGATATCGCAATGTCTGCCGTCAACGGCTCTGAATGTCATTCGTTGGCCATTCCATCCTTCTCTCGCGTGACGTCGCGCGACCTCTGTACCTTATCTTTTTTGATTGAGCCCTGCCCCGACACTTTAACCCCCCTACCCCTGCTCCGTTACTTCTTCCCATTGCCCATCAGCCCTGGCGCCTTAGGCGGTGTTGCTGGCCTCCCTCCTCCCCCGCCTGCCCCTAAACCAATGCCGGCCCCTGTCAGTCCTGCGTACGCATACCGCTGTTTCTTCTCTGCCGGCTTGAGGATCTGGAAGGAGCACATCAGCGTCTCATCCACGCTCATCATAGCGCCGGCATTGTCGAATTCTCCACAATAGTTGGGCTACGGGGTGGGGGGAAAGAGACGTGTTGGACGGGTGTCAAGGTGAGTGAGGGTGGCCCGATCCGAGGACGATCTGACGCCCGCGAGGAGGCGACAGACCGGCCGCGGTAGGGAACACCCGCATTGTGGAGGGGGGCACGAGAAGGGAACGGGGAAGAAAGGAAAGGGATGGCGAGACGAGAAATGAATGATTAAGACGATATGGGGCTTACCGCCGAGAAGATGGTGACGAGCTGCCTCCTCGCGAAGAACTCGTAGCCGTCCTCCACCACCTGTGGGGGTAGGCGAGTAAGGGTAGTGAGAAAGGTAAAACCCTTCCGTTTGCGGGTCTGTCGCCCGGCACAGACCGTCTCCAAAGACCTCCGCGTCAGGCTCCCTTCAAACCCTGATCCCTCCCTCCCTCCCTCCCTCCCACGCACCTGATGCGCTCGGCAGATGAGGTCAAGGTCGTGCTGCTTCAAGAAGCTGGCCGCCACGTCCTCCCCGAACGTGTACGAGACGCCACGGTCATTGTCTCCCCAACCCATGATGTCTTTGTCGGGGTCCGCCCACAGCAAGTCGCAGAGCAGCCCCGTGTCTGGCACGTCCGTGGGCCGCATTATATCCTTAATCTCCTCCAACGAGGTAAGCTCCGGGGAGAGGCCCCCGTGCATGCAAAAGATCTTCTCATCGATGACGGCGGCGATGGGGAGGCAGTTGAAGCAGTCCGTGAATGTCTGTGCGGGAGCGAGAGGGAGGGGAGCAGCAGGTAGTCTGAGCTTGACCATTCTCAAGACACCGTATGAAAGAGAGCCGGACCTTCGGACGGGACGTAGGCCGCCGAGGCAGGGCGGGAAAAGAGAGCGAGAAGAGAGAAAGACCTATAAAGGAACAAGAGAATTGCCATCCGCCGGGGACCTTGCTTCCGACAAAACACAAGACGTGGCAATCAAAAGCCCGTACCTTCCATAGCTTGATGTTGTATCGGCGTTTGCATTCGTCGTAGAAGCCGTAGATCCGGTTGATAGAGGCGCACTCGTGGTTTCCGCGGAGAATGAAGAAGTTCTCCGGATACTTGATTTTGTAGGCGAGGAGAAGACAGATTGTTTCCAAAGACTGCTTCCCACGGTCCACATAGTCACTGGGAAGGACGGGGTAGGGAGATAAATAGCAGCGTGAAAAGCGAGGACGTGGTGAGACGATTACTCTCTGCCGGCAAGAGAGTGCAACACTTATGCATGCCTATGATCTCCATACATCCATGCTCTCCTTGTACTCTTTATGACCCTGTGACTTTCCCTGTCGCCCTCCCGTCGTTCTCACCCTAGGAACAAGTAGTTGGCATTGGGAGGAAATCCGCCATACTCGAACAGCCGCAACAAATCATAGTACTGCCCGTGAATATCGCCGCAAATCTTAATGGGTGCCTCTAGCTCCAAAAGCATCGATTGCTCCATAAACACGTCCTTCGATTTATTACACAACATGCGGATCTCCGACTCCAGGAGCTGCACGGGTTTCCCGGGCCTGGCCCCACGGACGGTAAGGAGTTTTTCAATGATACCATCCACTTCAGACATCCCTTCTACACTTCCTCCTGCTGCATTTGTTGTAGCTGTTGACATTAGAGTCGGATATCTTGGATGGAAAGCGGGGCAGCAGGCTGTAGCAGCACCAGCCCGAACGCGTGGGGTTCTCGCGCGCTCAGCCTCGAAAGACTCGGAGGCGGCACCGAGAATACGAGGATGCCTCTGGCCTGGCAAGGCACCTGGGTGCGCGGGGTGTAAGAATCAAGCAATGAGGGCGAAGAACTCGAGAAGGGGCAGACTGTCGGGAGAATCTTGCCCTAATCGACCCTGGTCATAAGGCGGACGAGGCCATAGGCAAGCTTGCTTTTCGGCATACGCGATCGGACCCGCACTTCCACCACCTCTACGGTAAGGACGCTCCCGTACATGCCCAAAACGTGCCATTCACCATACTAATGCATCGTTTTTCAGAGGAATCTTTGCAAAATGCCGGACACCCGCTCGACCTGTGACCGCAGTGCCATTAGCATTATCGCCCTCGACCCTGGTCACGGCGGCCTCGCCGCTCAAGATGGGGGCCTCGTGCTCGCCCGCCTGGCAAGAAAATTCAACCAGTGTTCCCAGGTTGCACTTCTTCGGAACTGATTTTTGGGCTATTTGCCTCGTGTGGAACTGTACGACTTAGTTGGTGATACTCGCGTGTTTCTTTTTCATTGTCTTGGAATTGAGATGCCGTGACATGCCCGGCAGCCTGGCGAACAGTACGATATCATACGTACGAGATAGTATCAATTCTCACTCCGTTACTCATCAAAACAGACATTGCTAGGACGGCCAAAGGCCTTGCATTTCATCAGCAAAAAAAAAGAATTCTGCTACAATAAGTCGAACACCGGCCACGGACCGTAAGCTTACAGCATGAGTACCGATAGAGGCGGCGGTGAGGCCAGGGACAGGGCAGGCGCTGGAAGCAATCCGGACGAGGAGAGGAGGCATGCACCCTCACACGCCGTCCCAAACCTTGTCTCGATGGGCAACGGGACTAGCAACAGCCGTACCGGTACGAAGGTGGGGGTTTCCGTGGCTCAGGGCAACGCCACGCCGGCGGCGGGTCTTGAAGGGGATGCCGGTCCGAGTGGAGGGGGAAAGGCGTCGCCGGCCTCCCAGTATGGGGGCTTCTCGACCGCCTCGCCCGCCGAATTGGTCGGCGGTGGAATGGGAGCCGATGCCAGGACCCTGAAGCGTTTGTTAAAGGCCCTGAGTGCGGCGCGAGAGGCGGCGGATGGCGGCGCAGCTCTGTACGATACCTTATCCCAGCTGTGCGACCTAATTACCTACTCTGGAGACGACGCCTTGCTCCTGGCGGGCTTCGGCGGCGTGATGATGCACGGCGCTGGCGTGAATGTCGGGAGTAATGGGGGAGAGCGCGTGCACCAGCATCTGAAGGACCTCCTGGTCACCCTTCAGGCCCCCGACCCCTCGCTGCAGCTGATGGCGACCAAGGTGCTCACTCAGGTCTTCGAGCAGGTGCCGCCCTGTGTCGCCCTGGCCCTGGACGCGGGCGTGGCCGTCACGCTCACTGATAAACTTCTGAGCGTGGAGTGGATGGACGTGGCGGAGCAAGCCATCGCGGCGCTCGAGCACGTGGCCCGCTACTCGCCCGCCGCCTTGCTCTCCTGCGGGACCCTGGGGGCCCTGCTGGCCTTTCTCGACTTCTACCCCCTGGACGTGCAGCGTCAAGCCCTCAGAACGGTTGCACACATATGCAGCGGCCCTCTACGTGTCTCGGGCCTCGTCTGCAAGCGGGCGGGGGGGCTGGAGGGCCCGGGCGGGTATGACAGGGGAAGGTATGCGCCGAGAGTGG